TCCGAGAGCCCAACGTGCACAGGAAGAGAGTCCGGGTAGCAAAGGAAGGGGCCTCAGCCCACAGCCTGGGTAGGTGCCAGCCCCTAGACCAGAAGTTCTTCACCTTGATGTTGCTGACGTTCCGGCTGGAGAATTCTTTGTGGTGCGGGGGCTGTCCTGACATCGTAGGGTGTTTAGTAGTATTCTTGGCCTCTGCCCACTAGAGGCAACTAGCAGCAACCCCCTCCTCCACTTGTGACAACCCCAAATAGCTCCAGACAGAGCCTCGTGTCCTGGTGTGTGTCTGTGTGTGTATGTGTGTGTTTTAAAACCCTCATCCCTCATGGAGTGCCGCTGGTCTAAATGACAGTAAAAGAAGTGTAACTTCTGAAGGACATGGTGACGGGAAGTTCCGAGAGGAGGGTGCTGTCCAGGAAGGAGGAAGGAGTAACCAGAGGAGAGTCTTCCAGAGAGGCCACAGGACATGGCTGAAGGCGTCCATTGGGTTGACGCAGGATGTGGTCGTCAGAGACCCTGTAAAGTAGGTGTTTGGTTGTGTGATGGGGACAGAAGTTATGCAGAGAGAGGAGGGTTGAAGGGGACGGCGTGGAAACGCTGGGGAGTGAAGGTTCCTCCTCCAAGAAGCTCGACGGTCCGTTGTGACCTCGTCAGACCAGAGCCCCGGTGGTGCCCATAGTTCAATGCTTGCCGATACCCAGGACGTTGGCAGTTCTAGTCCGCCCAGCAGCTCCATGGGACAAAGACCTGGTGACCTGCTCCAGTGACGATTCGTCAAGGAAGCCCTCCTCTGTCACGTGGTCACGTGAGCGGGAACCCCCTGGACAGCTCCAGCGACGGCGTATGGAGACAACAGAGTCCTCACACAGTGAAAACGAACAAGCAAGAGCTCGATGGACTGACGGAAGTCACTCCCAAAAATATCACGCTGAGTCAAGAGCAAGTCGCAGAACATGAAAAACAGCTCTTTTCACCAGGCAACCGCATAAGGAGGAAACACAAGGCGATCGAATTGAGGTGTACCTTCGCCGAGCCAAAAGGAGACCTGGCCGTACAGGAGCTGAGTTGCGGGGCTGCGAATGGAAGGTCGGCGATTCAAACCCACCAGCTGCTCTGTGGAGACAGATGTCGCTTCCTGCTCTGTTCGGATGACAGCTGGAGAAACGTGACGCAGGTGTGAGTCGGGGTGGACTTGATGGCAGTGGGTTGTGTTGTCTTTTGCTTGGGTTTGTGGAAGACAAATTTGGGAGCAGCGTCTGCCTCTAGGGAAGAAGACAAGATTGGGCAGGGGTGCCCAAGATGAAATGAAAGTGAGCCTTTACTTTTCTGAAATGTCTGAACTCTCTCCGGAATGTGTGTTTAAGGACCCTTGACTGTGAAGGGGTGTAATGAGGGCAGGGGTGGAAGGGCGGAAGATGCAGGAGGGAGGCAGGTTGTGCTTGTTTGGTTGGTTGGAAGATGTTAGTGGCGTGGCTGTAAGGAACGGTCCAGGAGATGGGCTCAGGAGGAAGGGGATGCCCAGTAAACAAGGCTGCTCTGGAGGGAGGGGCAGGCAGAGGTGCGGTGGGTCGGCAGTTCGAATCCATCAGCCACCCCATGGGAGATAGATGAGGCTGTCTACTTCCATAAAGAATTACAGTCTCGAAACCCACAGGGCCAGTTCTACCCTGTTCTCTCAGGTCACTGTGAATCATTGTCAGCTTGGTGGCAGAGAGGCCGTCGTCTATGAAGTGTGCGAGAGCACGCTGGAGAAGTTTGAAATGATGTGGGAACACCCAAAACATGGCACAGAGCCACGCAGGGAGCACATGTTGTCGGAGCATGGAGGCATGGATGCGCCTGACTGGGGCGCCAACCTTTGATTTATTTAAACCCGTGCTCTCTGCAAGGCGCAAGACAGTGGGGTGTGCCTGTGAAAGGGAGTGAGGAGGACATCAGTGGTGTGCGCCCTCCCACCCCCCGCATGTCCTCAACGTCTGCAGGAAGGTTTCTGCCGGGAAGGCTGAAGCAGGTAGGGATGTGTCAGGGCACTGGAGGAGTACCCTAGCAGAATGGGAGGACGGGGATGGTAGCCCACCAAGGCCACAAGAAATGCCGCCTGAAATTTCTGGCCGGCCGCGTGGCTTTGCAGATTGTGCGTCTTCGGGGTCCTAGGCTGTGGGCTTCTGTGCTGCCCTCCAGCAGTGCTGGGAAGGGTTTAGGGAATGGCGTGCTCTCAGGATGGATAGCAGCCCTGGTGATGGCACACTGGTTAAGTGCTTGACAACTACCGTAACTGAAAGGTCAGAGGTTTGAATCTGCCAGCTGCTCTGCAGGAGAAGGTGGCAGGTGTCAGTC